CTTTCCCTAACTGTGTATTTGCTTTCCTTTGTGGTATGTCCATAAGAGAATGCAAGTTCTTTGGGGTAGTGGCATGTACAACTAATAAAAGACAATACAATAGCAACAAAATGTGTGAGGTGCTTCCTTATGTTTCTGAAAAATTCTGATGTTGATTTGGTCCATAGAGACTAAATGTTTTTGCAGTTAGCTTGCAGAGAGTTTCCTTTTGATCCTGTAAAATAACGATGTTGGATACATGCTATTAATGAAGAGTACTCTTGCAAATTAACTGAACAATCCCTCAAAGTGCTTACTAGGAGACAGAGTAAAATGTTATTCAGTGTTGGTTCATAATGGCTGCTATTTTAACATTGTTTTCTGTGGTTTTTTTCCTCCTCAATGTTTTTAGCAATACAATTCACTTGCTCTGTTTTACTTGGTATTTGATACTATATACCTCTATAATGATGCAATACTTTGGGGAAATAGGTTAGATTTAATGAATTTACTGTGTATGAGAGGCTAGGAGCAAAAATCCTTAGGGGGTCAGAGAAGAAGTGAATGGTCCATTAAAAAATCAATAATGCCCACAATTTTATGGAATTATTATGCCTTGACTTGATAATTTTAATAGTATTGTGCTTACAATAGTATTTTATCTAAAATCTTAAAAGTAGTGTTCATATTGATTATGAGACAAATAAGCAAATTAATGATCTTCAATTTACCATGATTGAAATGAATTAAATTGCCTTTTATAAACATATTATTAATAATAATTCCTTATTAATGAGCATATCTCTTAAGCTGTATGTGGTATGTGTTTACTGACAATCTTAAAGTAATTTTGAACAGAAAATGAAATTATCTAGTTTGAAATAGAGGCAGCTTTCAGTAAAATAGACTACTGAAACAATTAGGAGCATAATTTGAGGACACCCACCAATCTTACCAAAATTGCTGCAATGGCAGTGATCAAAACCTTAAGGCAAAACTAAGTAATAAGTTTTCTGAACTTGGCCTTGTCTCTCCTAAGAAATAGACTATTCTGCTGAGTCTTGAAGAAGTTGAACAAGACCTGAATTCAGTTAGCTGTATTCCTGTGCCAGATCACAGCTGTTTTATTTATCTGCCTCTCTTTGCCCTGCTGTCATCCCATCCGTCACTGGACTACTAAAACTGGGCACCACTGAGATGGTACCATTCACTTGGATGGACTGAAAAAAACAGCCCTGGACCCTTCTTGGTTTTGTTATAGAAGGTCTTCTGTGAATTCCAGAGTCTTCTGATGCATCTGTGGTTGACCTAAGAGTAGTGTCTTGAATTTTACAGGTGCGTGGGATATCTTGAACTTTCAGAGATGCTTAAAACTCTTATAGTTTCACACAGGCATTGCTATGCAGGACTTAAAAACAGATTTTGAATCTTTTGTGAATGACCAAGATGAATTACTGTTACAGCCCAGTTAGTTTTCATATGGATGGTCACCTTCTGCTGTGCTATTGGACCTAAGCCTTTGGAAGTTTGCAGACCTTTCCACTTTAGAAACTCTACATCTGCTCTTCAAGGGCCTCCCAGGATAAGGTTTTATTGGTATGTAACCAGTGTGTCCATTGGTGTCCTGCAACCTGATTGCCCTGGAATGCTTTTTGACTTCTTCAAGACCCTGTAGGCTCTTTCTTAAGAGATGGGAAGACAGAATCGTTCAGAAAACCTACTGCTTTTTTCTTCTGGTTTTTATTGGTGGCCATTGCTGGAGAGAGACACACCTCCAAGAGCAGGCTCTTATACCTTCGTCTCTCCCTCTTTCACCTTTGGATTTTTCCTTGGATGTCTTTCTTTTTTTTCCCCTCTGCAGCTTTGTGTTCATTACAAAATAAACTTTCAGCAAATCAAAAACCTTTGCCTGTGTTCTGCTCTTCTTCATCTCAAGCATGTCTATTCTTGACATCCCCCTGGCATGGCCATGCATGCCAGCCCTGTCTTCAGCCTTGGACTGACTTCTTGTAGCAAACCAAGTCCTCCTCAACCCAAACAGCTTTACTCTTTGTACCCGAGCGGTCGATAATGGAGGAATGATACAAACATACTTTGTTGTGAAGTCTTCAACAAATTCAGCTGCATCCAGCATAGCTCACCATTAGATAATGCTTAAAAGATGAAAGTTGCAATTCTAATGTAATCCCTTGATTCAGAGTATGTGATCCCAGCTATGGGCATGTAGTGCTTGTGCTTTAATCTGCCTCTAGAGGCACTTCCTCCTCTTGAAAGAAGAATCTACAGGATTTTTTCTCTGTTTGGTCAATATGCTGACTTAAGAAGCTTTACTAATGTTCTATAAATCTCTGGGCTACCATAAAAGTATTTTAATCTTAGTATTGTATTCTTCCTCAACTTCCACTGAAATTGATGCAAAATCAGGTGCTTAAACACCTGTGTTGTGAGGATCAGTATTGAGATAAGGAGAAACCTTTTGGAAGAGAATTAAAGAGCTGTACTGGTGGAAGCACTATGACAGAGGCTGCAGAAATGCTGGGAGGACGTTGGAGCAGTCAGATGGGGGTGGCTTTTGGAGCTGGGGGCTTCCTTTGCTTTGAAATAGCAGCTGTACAATTCCAGTCTCTGCTATCTTGTTGGAGGAAGATTAACGCACAGCAAAGCAATGCCGCACTTTGTATGTACATATGTATAGTTATCATACGTAGGAAAAGAAACCTGCTTCTTTGCTCGTTTCCCCCCTTTCTGTTTTGGAAAACATAACCTTTTGTTCCGTTAGGTTACAAAGGGAATTAGATTTACATAATTCCGCTGTTATTGTTATCCACGTCTGTGGAAATGTCACCAGCGCTGGCAC